CATACTGTATACTTCGTGTTATGTTTAAAGTGTATTCTTGTAAACGCATATTGATATACACTTGAATTACGCCAAGCTTATATATCGTTCAGAATAAATTTATTTTTCGTTTTGTCATGTATTTTTGAATTTTATTCTATTAAATTGTTCAATATCAATTATTGGTAATTAATATTTCATCGTATACATATTTTGTTGTCGCACGTGCATATGCCACTTGTACGTCTGTACAGGGGAGGAGAGAGAAAGAGAGAAAGAGAGAAAGAAAGAAAAATAGAAGCAGACAGGAAAAGAGAGGGCGGCACCGGGCTTACAGCAAACGTATAAAAATTGTTTTACATAATCTTTGTTCCTTGAAAAGATATTTTTTTGTGAATGGCGAGGAAAAGTAGCTAGGTGATTCATTCCACTTCGTGATCGTTATTCTTGCGTACATACGGTTTATCTATGCGTAGTGATACTCAATAATATCTACATTTTTAAACTATTCTATACTTTAAATCTTAAATTATCGTGTTCATAAGTTGTCTATCTGATCGATGGCCTTTGTCCGTACTATATTTTGATCATATATTCGATCAAAACAAATGGCATTGGGAATCATTGCGGTTTGTCTCTTAAGATATCTTAACGTAATGAAGCAATTACTGTTCAAAATTTCTCTTCTCTATCAGTGTTCCGCGTAAAATATCTATACATTGAAAAAGCATTTTAACAACTATAGTTGTCTATTTGCTTAACGGCACTTCTTTTTTTAGCGTATCTTTGAACCTAAGAAATTACACTTTGTTACACATTTTATATATTAAGAATACTGAATAAAGCGCACTGGATTCAATAGTATCTTGAATAATCACTTCACAGTGATTACTACTATCACGTAAGCCTTCAAAAATTGGATGATCTTATTCCAGCCGCGTGTATTTGAAGCGTCATGTCATCAACGCACATCGAATAAATTAAAATAAATTGTCAATGCTTTGTTCTTCGCTGATTTCAGGCAGTGCATTACTCAATAGTAATTCCTTCTGCAGAATACTTTCCGGCGTTTCTGATTTAAATATGACTATTATTTACCTTAAGTACATGCATGTTAGCAACGTTTCGCTGATTAGTCGCGTCGTTTAACGGAACGGAATAAGACTTGCATTTACTATTTTGCAAATAATCTCATAGATAAGAAACAGCTTATGAAGGCACTTGGATGTGTATACAATATTTCGTTAAATAATTCGATATAAAAAAATATCTTTTACGACGCTTAATGCCTATCACAGGCGACATTTGATAAATTTATAACACTTCTAAGGCCACAATGGAATGTAAGTTTCTTTTTTCAACAATCAAAGGCCACTTAAAGGTACCTACGTTCTACGTGTTCTAAGAAATGTAACATCTAACAACAAACTTAAAAAGAAAAAAAGAAAACAATCGTAAACACGATTACGTTTGTAATCTATGTCCGTGTTAATGAATCAATTACCACACCAGTTTTTCTTTTTTACACCAAATTGTCAGCAATTTGTATGTCTGGAACCTCTCATCAATGGAATTAGAATACTTGGACTCTGCGCTTGCCTAAGAAACGGATGCTGCAACAGTTCAGTAGCCGTGGCTCTCTGTGCCGGATCGCGAACAAGCATTCTCTCCAGGAATCCTTGGAGACGTGGACTGACCTTTACAACAACAAACGTAATTAATTTATGTTTCCATCATTTTGTATCTATATAAACATATCGTGGGACATTTCGAGCTCACTTTGTGAGAATTTTTCAACTTTGGCGGAGGCATATCTCGGATACGTCTCATAGCTTGCAAAGGAGGTTCGTTGAAAAACGGTGGTTCTCCATCGACCATTTCAATGATCATTATACCCAATGACCAAATATCTACTTCGGGACCGTACGGCAACCTGAAACAACGAATATACGTTATTTATATCGATGCGATATATCGCGAATGAACTTTTGATGTAAAGCGGAACAAAAATTTACCTGGAAATAACTTCCGGGCTCATCCAGTATGGCGTACCAACAAGAGACTTTCGCCTGGGCAACTCTTGAGATACTTGAGCACAGAATCCAAAGTCGGACAATTTAACTCTACCGTCAGCCGTCAGTAATATAGAATCAGACTTGATATCTCTGTGTATAACACCTTGAGAATGCAAATATGCAAGTGGTTTCAAACACTGAGAACACACGGTGGCAATCTGACTTTCGTCCATTCGAGAATGCGTTACAATATCTGTAAGCGCTCCACCTTCAAGGTACTCCATCACGACCCACAATTCGTCGTCTACCAAGAAACTATCATACATTTCGACAATATTTGGATGGTGATAATCTCTCATGATAACCACTTCATTGAAAAGCAGTTCACGTCGTTGCTGCTTTCTTAAATCCATTTTCTTCACTGCCACTTGCCGATTTGTATTTTTTTCGGTCGCTATACATACCGTACCGGTACTTCCTTCTCCGATTTTAAGAAAATTTTCCAGATTTTCTCTTGGATCGCCTCGACTTACCTACGGTATTTAAACGAATTAAGACGGAATATAAACTTCCAAGCATCGTATTCTTTTAACGTTCGTTATCGATGCTAATTTTTATTTTCTTACCACCATCTGTAAAGCCGCTCGGAATTGTTCATGAGTGAGTCTTTGTTCTGCTGTTTGTTTGTTCGTCGCACTCGAACTTGAGCCAACTGTTAGATTTCCCGAAGACAGAGCACTCTTCATATTTTGATTTTGATCAGGTGTCAAGCTATTTCCAGAGGACGGTAAATTGGACTTTGATAAATTATGCATCGATTGAGACGTCTCGATTGGTCTTTTTACATGGGACTGCAAAATGGACGAATTTTCTGGCGTACTGTATGCTTGTGAATATTTATTAACATTATGTGTACTTAATTGGCTCAATGGTCGCTGCGAAGCGATGGATCCTACAGGTGATATTTTAGGTTGCAACTTGTGCAAGAAAGTATTTTGAGTCACCTGTTGATCTCTGGATGATGTTTCAACGTTTGAAATCTGCACATACATACAAGAAATGGTACGTATTTTTTTTTAAACATTCATCTAACAATCTAGCAATCAAGTATCATAGTTTACCTGAGCATTTCCATTGTATTGTCCAGACGTAGTCATTTGAGTATTTAACCTATGAAATTCAGAATCTACGAGTTGAGGAGTGCCAGGACTTTGCATGGGACACTGTGGTGTTGTAATGGGACTCAAATTTTGGAAATTCAGAGATAAATTCTGGGCATTAGAACCAACATGTGTTAAATTAGGAGATGATTGCATATTTGGATTAAGATTTTGAAGATTTGGAATCATGCTTTGTGTATTAGGATGCAACGTGCTTGCAACATTGGGCGAATTCTGCCTCATTTTATCAAAATAATTATGTTGCTTTCCAAAGTTAGTATATCCTTGTACTTGATTAGTACCAGATGGTATTTCTTGTCCTTCTGGCACAGACGGTGGCAAATTACTATTATGCCTATGAAATAAAAATGCAATTAGATGCTTAATATTTACAATAATATCTTAATCTCC